CATTTGTTTAGTCAATTACCAAAATTTGGATGATTTTGAATATTCACTTGAAAAGTTATCAAAGAAAAACATTTTTCATTTTGTAACTTCGAGGGCCCGTAACTTGGTTACGAAGACTTTTAGGAAAAAAAGTTATATGAAGTACTGGTGATATTTTGACCCCATCTATACATTCCCGAGAGGAAAAGAGGAAGTCCAGGAACACCCTGTATAATACATACAAAACAGTCACAGAAAAGATACAGACGTAGTACCTACATGAGTTGATAATTTCACATAGTTACCTAATGTATTCTACAGCTTTTGTTAAAGTGGTTTTTGAAACGTCAGGATATAATGCTCGGCATTTGCTTACAACTTATAGGACATATTACTTTTGGTCTTCATCTTTTGTGAGAAGATTGTTAAAGTTGGTTATTAATTTAACACCACGCTCAGCCATATCATTAACTACTTTTAACGTTTCGACAATTTTCAGTCCTTGGAAATCATTATTTTGAGGCCAGGTGTTTTGATGTTGTCTTAGGAAATCTGGGTTTATATGTTTATATAATATTGTAAACGTTTCTTTGGTAAGTAAATTTACCAATCCTCCATTAACTACCTCTTAATTTTTCTTTCCTAACTTTTGAATTTACGACCGTATCGTGCTCTGATAGATCATCGGTGCTACTGAGCAATTTATTAGCCATAAACAACTTTTCGTCGTCTGTAATGGTGGGATTAAAAAAAAAATAATCCCACCAACTCTGCATTCAAATACCACAAATGGTTCGAAAATTTGGTCAGAGCTATTTCTGCAATGTTGTCACATTTTTTATAGTTTAACAGCCTATGCAAAATACCTAAATCTTGCTTTGGTGCAAGATGAGCTGTTGGAGCATTGAACCAAGCTTTACAATAAATTTTAACTAGGAAAACAGAAATGGAACGTACAGAACTTTCTTCTTTTTTAGACATCTAGAATTGACGACGAAAAATTAACATTTTTAAGCAGTAAATAGCCTTTGCCATCCGTATAACGTGATGAATGGCTTCTGAAGTTCTAAAACCTACAACATTGCCGTCTAGTGATCCAACAAATATGAGAACCAACCAATAGCTCCTTGTAGTCATCTCTGGGGTGGCTCTCACTTGATTTGGTATCGAATTCAGCAGTAACATTTGCAATTACTTCTGGAGTTAGCTGCTTTTGTATCAGATTGTCACTGACACCTGTGGCGTATTTTCCTTTGTCTATCTTGGGCCATGCAGTGAGGAATCTCTTAAAAATGTCGGGATAAGGTAAAGAATGTGACGACATTGCAGAAATAGTCCTGACCAAATTTTCGAACCATTTGTGGTATTTGAATACAGAGTTGGTGGGATTATCTTTTTTTTGATCCCACCATTACAGACGATAAAAAGTTGTTAATGGCTAATAAATTGCTCAGCGGCACAGATGAACCATCGAAGTACGATGGGCTTGTAAATCCAAAAAGAGAGAAAAATTAAGGTAGTTGATGGAGGATTGGTAAATTTACATAACAAAGAAACGTTTACATTATATGACCGATTTAATATAAAAACAGATTTCCTATGACAACATCCAAACACCTGTCCTCAAAATAATGACTTTAAATTAGCATGCCTAACAAAATTTGTCAATATGTTTTTTTTTGTTACTGTGAAACGAAACTTTCATAATGAATTATCAAAATTAAATTTTGTGAAATTAGAATCTTATCTCAAAATATTCACTAACAGTGTGATCAATAGCTATTAGGAAATATTTATAATAAACCAAAAATAAACGTGTTACTAATTGTTAAATATTGGGTGACTCCTTACGACACGTAAGGACGACACGTAAGGAGTTGCTGAAGAGAGAGAGACAAAAACTGTGAATCTGTCCTATTTGAGTACGACCGTAGTTCAGGAGTGCGTTTTCGGCACTGCTAGTACTCCGAATCCCAATTTCGGTGCGTCATCTTCCTCTCGCGGCAGTCACACAAAACCACAGTCATTTCGCGATAAATAAGACAAAAAAGTGAAATAAAACAAAAACTAGTTAATCAAACACAATATACAGGGATATGGTGACGAAACATACCACCCGCCTAAAATGCCGAGGCATTTTTTTGATTGCTGTCTAGTAGTAAAAGGCAAAGTTTTACCACTGACCGTATGAGCAATCCATTAGGAGTTTTTACAGATGCAACGCGTACTACTCCGTCCGTACCAGGAAATCAATTCAACCACACAGCCGAGTTGCCAATGCGAGGGAGGCATTGAGTCGTGCTTAATTAAAACCATCGTACCCAGTTCAATGTTAACAGTTGGATCAGTCCAGTTGCCTCGCTGGAACAAGGAATGGAGATACTCGTTGCTCCATCGCGA